ACACCAAAACAATTAGTATCTGATGCACTTTACCGCTCGGATGTTCCATGAACCAGTCGTTGAAGAACTTTTGTATTTTATTAGTATTCGCAATGATAACTTTTTTTGTCTTATTGAAGGCATTAGTTGACTCTATTTTTAATTCAATTACTGGCTCAGTTTGTACACCGATTTCTGCAGAGTTCTTTTCGTTACTCGAACCTGTGATAATACTGTAACCATTTGAATCCACAGTGCCCACATCGGGGAAGTGGTTTATGGTGGCGAGGTCATTACTGGTTTCCTCTTTCGAAGGTGAGGGTGATATTTGCAAATTGCCATCAGTAGGCATATTGTAGTGGCCGAGCACAATGCCAGCATTCTTGCGTATAACATCATTGATGTAAATCATTTTGGGATTTGATTCTTCGTTAGCAGAATTGGGACCATCCAAAAGTTTTATCGGCAGACTGGCTGAAATGCGTGGTGTGTCTTCGTCCACCAACGAGGGCAGCGCATAAAGGCCATGACGATGCTCGCCCACATACAGCGATTGGCTAAGAATATGTAAGAACGTGATTTTGAAGCAGATTTGAAGTAAATACTCTATTTTCAACCACCTACAATAACTTGACGGTATTCACATTGCCGGTCTTGGACTCCTCCAATATGGATTCAAATGCCTCGTCGGAGACCGTGGTGAAAGGCACACTAAGTAGACCCTCAGCACCGAGCAGAAATGCAGCGACCACTGGACTTGTTAGATCGCGTCGCCACAAAAACTTCCCATTCTTGCGATCCAAAGTGACTATATTACCATTGGATGTGGTGGTTAAGTGCAGATATTCTAGTAAAAATAAAAAATAAAAAAATTTGTCTTTTTGTTTTTCTTTTTTTTTTGCTATCACCCAACTCACCATACTCCTTCGATATATCCGGCGTCATAGTGTGCGCACTGTAATCATAGAAAGTGATATTCCAAGGCTTGGCATTCTTTCCCTTCGCCAAGCTGTCGTACATCATCACAGTGTACTGGGTGCGCCCCAAGTAAATCGACTGCGAAGTGCCACGCTTCGCCTTATTCTCATTTTCCGTGGGTTTTTGTGTGGCATCTGCTTCGGTGGCGCCAGGTCCAAAGCCCATAACTTTCTTACGGGTACCCGACTTTGGATCGACCATGAACCAAGTATCGCTCTTTTTGCCCGAATACAAAATGCCGTCGGATGAGCGGCATGGCGCGCTGGCTACAAGCTGAGGTATGGTGTAGGGCAATTTCTTTAAGTTACCCATGTCGCTAAGTTGATAAATGCTGCCATCTCTTGGATCTGGTAAATATTGTGGCGCTTGTACATTTTCTTCTTGTTCAGCTCGTATTGGTGGATCTGTGTGGAGAGGATTTCTATGAATTATTTTGGAAGAATTAAAATAATTTCAAATTTGTTCAAAAATATGCTAAATCTGTCTGAGTATTGGTTGTTATAATCATGATAAAAATTCTCAAAACAATTTTGGGGAATGTTGCTGAAGTGACAGTCCATGGCTAGATATAAATCTGGATCATTCTGCTAACGTAGATCAGCTGAAGTGGAAATGAATCGATTTGAGTTAACTGAAAATCTTCGGGAAACGTATGCATGCGTAGAGCTATTTCAATCAGGCTGGCCTAATACCATGTCCCCACTAGAGCTAACCACGTAGTTATGGCTGTTGAGTTGGTTATCCCGATAACCCATTTGATTTAGCATAGTTTCGCCACTTAACCATTTCACTGAGATGGTTAAAAGCTAACCAACTCGAAACCACGTCGAAAGTCTGATACAACCCGCCATCTGTGGGTCATTAGCGATAAAATGTAAAAACTTTGTTCCCTACTAGTGTTTGGATTTCACTAAGATCAGATCTGATTTACTCCGATTTATGAAAAAAATTTCAAATCTACTCCTCAGTCCGCTTGACTTCAAATCTATTCCATCTTTCTCATTCATGTTATGCCCATCTTAGGGCCGTTTTTTTAAGTGTTCACAACCGGTTTCAGTAAAAAAATTGAAAGTTAGCCAAATCTTACTGTTAGAAAGTAATTCTTTCATACCAATGCGTCAATAAAGTAACCTCTTTATTTTTTTGGATGTATGGCTGTAGAAATTGGCGGAGGCAGGACTTTACTTAAGTTGTTAAAAAATATATCGTCGATGTTTTTGCAAAACCGCCCATCGACCAGTTGCAAAACCGCCTAAATCGCCGTTGTGGCAAAATGAGATTTGGTAACCCTGAACTCCAAGCATCGAGATTTATGCATAAAAATCGTTAGATCGTTATTAAAACAACAGATTTGTAAAATAATAGCTAGAGAAAATTCCGCCTATCATTGCAATGCCTTCAAAGAATAAACGGTTTTTTCGCTCTCCTGTAAAATTTGAGCGCCGTAAGATAGGCGGTTTTGCAATTGGGCGATGGGCGGTTTTGCAAAAACTTCGACGATATGTAGAATGGAATTTATATAAAGTAGAAAAGGTTTAGCTCCTATTGCTCTTTAAAAAATTAAGTTTTAGAAATGTTAATGCTAAAAATTACCTAAATATGTAACATATTATCCTTACATTGCCTCGCGTTCTTATTTTTGCATGAATAGAAAATATTTAAGTCAAACAATTAATGTCGGAAACGAAAATAAAAAATTCAATCTAATACGGAAAATTTGTTTTTGCTCTGATTTTTGCAGCGATTTAGTCCTGAATCGAGTTTTTGAGCTCCGAACACTGTTCTCTACATTTGTACTGTTTTATAAACCTCAAACCGCAGTGTGGACACCAATAGTTAGTGATGTGGTTAAGTTCGATTTGAGATGGTTAACATTTTGGTGGGGACTTGGTATAAGACATCATTCCAATGCTAGAATGATTTTGCCTAAGTCTACAAAAAAACGTTCATCCGCTAGTTACGTTATAGGTAAAAATGATCATTTCTATGCAAGCATTTTAAACATACAAACATCACAATCATAAAATAAGTGACCTCGAAGCTAATGACTAAAAAATATTTCGAACCAGGACCGGCCGCAAGGGGGTTTTGGGGGTTTAAACCAAAACTACGGATTCGTAGTCAGCACAAAAAAAAACCTATCAAAATCAACTTTAACATTTGCCGTAATAAAATTTGTTTTTATTTTTGTTGGGCTGTGTCAAGGTGTTGTCAGTAAATTAACCTCACTTTTTCGGCAGGTCTATTCCGGTCACGCATTTTAAAGTACTAGAAAAGGTACTAATTATTTACTACCTTTAATCCGTGCATACTATTTCAAATTAAATGTAGAAAAATGTATAATTACAGGCTTATAAGCCTGAATATATGTATGTTTGTATCGGCAGCTCCACACAGCTTGGACATATATTATAACTTTAAAAAAGTAAAAGCCGTAAAATAAGGCAATTTCCTATAAGACTGTAAGGCTGCATTTCTTTATTCATTCTGAACGTTTGGAATAAACTTTTTTATTTATTTATTCTTTAGAACGTTCCTGATGATATGTTGACTTATATTTCAAACGCATTCTGTTTATTCCGACTGTGAAATTGGATTATCCGGAATGTATAAAGAAACGCAGCCTAAATGATTTTCTAAATAGATTAAAACACATAAATATCGATAATATAAGCGAATTCCTAATTTAACCATGCAGCCACTCTATTCTAGTATATCAGTAGTTCATTTGGCTCAATATTATGACAATGCAGCAAAAGTTATTTAATATAAAAAAGCGCCTTTCCATACGATTTTTGTGTACGTTTTTTTCCATTGATAACCACGATGTCTTTTATTTTTCTACTTTTTGAGGACAAAAATTATACAAATCCAGCAATTTTAAATATTAATATTGTTCTGAAAACACCAAGTTCTTTAAAAATCGCGATAAAACGAATTACTAAAATGGAGTATTTTAGATACTATTTCCCAACGAATAGTAGTATAAAAATTAAGATCGGCGGCACTGAAAATAAGCATGCCGATCTTGTCAAAATCACAACAAACACGTCGCTACTGATAACACCTTGTTATTATTCCACCATGGGCTGTGTTATCTATTAAAAAATGAGCAAAATTCAGATTTTCGGTTTTTTCTACAGAAATTTTTCCTTATGTGGTCTATAACACCCTTTGCTCCGCTATATAGTTATAGTTTTGCAAAATAATTCAATGAATATCATCATGCATGTAGTGTAGACTGCGTCTTACTTTGCAACTTTGTCCTACAAAGCAAGACTCCCCCATAAAGTTTCATTTGATCATAAAAACGTGACCTGCGGAAAATTTTTAAAATCCGATAAAGCGTAGCAAATTCATAGAATTTTTAACAAAGCGCATTTTACATTATGGCTTTTTACAAAAACAAAGTTATCTTTTCCAAATGCTATTGTACTTAATATCTAAAAATATAGCAACAAGAAAAAATACATGTATAAAGTTAGTTTCGGCCATAAAAACAGATATTTAGACCATAGTGGCATGTAAAAAATTTTACAGAATTTTCTTTATGAAATCGAACAGAAATTTCGTGGAGTTCATGTTAACGATTTCATATGACTTTTTTTAAAGCGTTCCCACGACAGTCGGGTCTACGTAACCGGAACGACCCAGATTTATACCTGGCCAAGGACTCCAGCAACACTCCCAAAAAAATCTTTGGGGAATTTGTATGCTGCTACAACAACAACCACTTTCTTTAAAGATTCGTAAAGAAATCCTTACCGAATTCGGAACACACTTCTCTTAAAGATTGTGGGAATTTTAGTTTGCAGGGATACTATGTAAAACATACTGTTTGTATGTAGCTAAAAACTATAATACTCTTTGGAAAAAGTCAGACTCATTGTTTCGGTAAGTTAATAGCAAATACCGTAGAACAATGTGAATGTATGTATTTTCCTCCTGTGTTTTAAGTGATAACTAACAAAAATAAATTTACATAGCTGCTTTTGAGTCAGCAAATGGCAGAGTTAATGACGTTAAGAGGCGTTCAGAAACTATTAA